CATCCTCCTCATCGTCCCCCATCCTCCTCATCCTCCTTATCCTTCCCATCCTCCTCATCCTCCCTATCCTCCTCATCCTCCCCATCCTCTCCATCGTCCCTCATCCTCCCTCATCCTTCCCAATCCTCCCCCATCCTCCCCATCCTCTCCATCCTCCCTATCCTCCCAAATCTCCCCATCCTCTCCCTCCTCCCCCATCCTCCCTATCCTCCCCCATCCTCCCTATCCTCCCAAATCTCCCCATCCTCTCTATCCTCCCCTATCCTCCTCATCCTCCCCATCCTCTCCATCCTCCCTCATCCTCCCCTATCCTCCCTATCCTCCCAAATTTCCCCATCCTCCTCATCCTCCTCATCCTGCTCATCCTCTCCATCCTCCTTTATCCTCCTCATCCTCCCCCATGCTCCCCCATGCTCCATCTTGCATCGCCTCGTTTGATTGACAGCGTTCTGCTGCAGAGCCTCAGAGTCGAGCTCACCTCTCCTCTCCAGACGCTTCATCTCATCCGTCTCCTTCAGTTTCTTTCTCTTTAATTGAGTTTCAGCTCCTTGTTGGAAGCTTTGATTCACTGTTTTGTTTCGTATTAACTGAAAATAACAAAAGCAAAGTGCCCCGATACAACCGAAACCGTCAGCTCAGGAGGCAATAATGAACTTCTTACTTGTTTTTAACCTCAGCGTTAAACTGATGCTCCACTATTTGAACTGGTAGATTTCAATCTCACAGACTCCTGTTTGGTAACGTGAGCTCCAGCAGAGCATCGTATTTCAACAGCAGCTGCACTGTGAGTTCCTCTTTGAAGGAATTAAAGCTGCTGGGAGCTCCGACACCTCCGGGAATCCTGAAGCAGTCATAGAGCGATGAGTGTGACAGTTCTGCAGCTCGCGTGTGCTCAGAAGTTCCTCCTGCTTTCTTCACCAAGACGCTCGTCTCGTCGAAGACTTCATTCTACCGTAAAAACCAAAAAGGTTTGTTTGGTTTCTCGGTGGCTCCTGGTTGGATTCGTGGACGGAGCTATGATCAAAGCATCTTCAGTCCCCGGATGACTCTTGATAATCGCACTGAGAAAATTATGTTAAATTTTAATTTCCAGTTACTTTCAATCAGCCGCTGAGGCAAAGTGCTTTCAAATAGAGAAATATTATCAAATTCAGTATATTTAATCATTAACCTGTGTGTTATGAATGTTTCTGCATTTAAAAAAAAAACAAAACAACACATCAATTTCTCTACAAATGCAAGAATCTGGGCACAATCAGTATTTTCTAGTTTTGTGCGCAAAACAGACCAAAATCAGTGTTTCTGTATTAAATCTGTATTTCTTATTTCGGCATTTCTACTGGTGGAAGAATCTCATGTCCCCACTGTGGGATTAGTCAAGGCTAATCTCATCATATCCTAGCCTAGCTTAGCTTAGCTTAGCTTAGCAAGGCTAAGATCCTCCAGTGAAGATGCAGAATTTACTCAGTGTATTAATATTGTGGTTAAAACTCCATAAAATTAGACAAACACGAATCTGATGAATTTTACAGTAAACAGATTACAATAACGTATTTCAAGCAAATCAGGTTTAGCATGTAGCTAAAGCGCAGTGCAATGTAAAGGGCAGTAGCAGCATGAATGTGCTCAGGTATACTCAGTATGCATGTAGAAACTCTTGTTTTTGTTTCATTTCATTCCCTGCAAATGTGCCCGCTGTGCTTCTGTCATCCTAGCTTAGCTTAGCATAGCAAGGCTGAGGCCCTACAGTGAGTATTATGATGTGGAATTAACTCAGTGTTTTAAATGTTATGGTTAAAACTCCACAAAATGATCTAGAACATCATCTGACTGACTGAGACAGTCGGTTTGAACGGTCGGCTTCGAGCAGCTCAAGCAGTGAAGCAGCAAAGTGCTCGAGGACGTTCAGCTTTTACAGAATGAACAGAGCGCTAAAATACTACTAGAAGTGGAAATGGGCCCGGTTCTTTTATGGACTGATGTTAGCGTCTTTTCAAACTATAAACGGAACCCAAAGGAAACCAAAGATTCACTCTGAGGAAGTTCCCAAAGAACTGTTTAGTCAGAAGTTCACACTGATGCCAGGAGGTCTACAATATATCTGTTAGAGGACAGTTTGTTAGACTTTGCCTCCTTTGAATAACTTTCTTCTTAATAATTTTAAGTGTTTTAGGTCTTTATGCTTTTTAAATGTAAAACAGAGTTCTCACTTCTGCGTGATCCATATTAAAGACAGCGGGTTGTGATTTACAGGCGGTTGACTAGAGTACAAACACCGTATTATACAGTATGTTATGGGGAGTAAAGCTCATGTTCTAGCAGAGGACTAATCATTTAGACAGGAACTCATCTCTAAAAGTGAAGAACCACAACAACAACAAAAAGGAAAATATTGATGCTTTTTATCCTGTTTTGTGAAATTACAGACAATATCTCCTAAAAGCCCAAAAAAAGTGGGGAAAAAAGAAAATATTGAATTCTTTTCCAGTGTGACCATGAAGTTGAACCATTTGACTGAATTTAAATCCACTCACACGACATCATTCCACAGATATTGGTTTTTATATTTCCTCTTGCCGCCACGTTTTAACAGTTTTTGTTTTAAAGGTTTATCTGTGATAACATTCACAACATCCATCACAAAGACTGCACATGTTTCCTTTACTCTAAATGATTGATGTGGTCCCTGAGGTGACACATTGCGCTGCTTCAACCCGGCAGCTCATCAGGTCCGTTTCATTCATCAGCAGTCTGTGGAACCGGGAGGCTGCTGCTGCTTTGGGTTGTTGTGTTTTATTTTTCAGGGAGAAGAGGTGAGGAGTGAATGGAGGAGCTTGTTCAACTGTGTGGAGAGAGGAAAGTGTGAGAGAGGAGGAGAGGAAGGGCGAGGGAAGAAGGGAGGCGGAGAGCGGATTGCATTGCGGCACATTGGTGCGTAAATGTGAGCGTCCTCGTCCCGCGGCTCTCCGCAGCGGGCTCCTCTCTGCTCCTCTGCCGGCATCACCTGCTCGGTGGTCGGCGCTCAGCCTCGGACCGTGGAGTCCCGGGTGTCTCGGCTCGGCGCCCTCCTCCAGGGCTTGGGAGGAGCGCCGGGGACGTCCTCCAGGTTCCTGCCGGGCTTCGTGTCCACCGCGGCGGACAGCCATGGCTCGGAGCGCCGGGAGAGACGCGGCTCGACGCGCTCCCGGATGCCGGTGATGCGGGGTCTGATCGCGCCCCAGAACACCTTCCTGGACACCATCGCGACGCGCTTCGACGGGACCCGTGAGTACATCCGTGATTCCCCCCCCCCCCCCCACTAATCCCTCCGTGCGCAACTCAAGCACCTCACTCACTCCAAATCTGCTTATTCGCCTGTTTTCAACTCTGAAAATAGGCTGCAGAGTCCTACAACGACCTGGCTCAGGATTGGGGACAGTCGCTGATACTCGGATGATGAATGAATTATGATGAATGAAAGCGCAGATTTGAGTTGGACATATTAAGAATTAACGCACCTGAGCGTCAGTGGTGCAAAAATAAACCTTCACTTGTGTCAGAGGTGATTCAGATTGGATCATTTCCTCGTGACCGAACCTGACTAAACCTTTAAACGCATTAAATTACCTTAAAAGCAACCCAGATGTGTAATAATGTGCAGAGAAAACGGGGTCATCCCTCCTCTGGGCGTCTCCATGGTGATCATATGCTGAGCCTGAATCACTGACTCCCTGTTAGACTTAATTAATGCAATGACTCATTAAAGGCTTTGCTCTTGGACTGATAACCGCCAGTCAGTCTGAAAAGTTGAGGCAGTCTGAAGAGGCTCCTGTTGGCTTCAGACACACAATCCTGCTGAGATTGAGCAGTAAAATGAAAACCACAGGACTCCCCGTCAGGCCTCAGTGCTGCCACTTAGGGAGTCTTTTAAATAAAAATGAGCCTGAAGTTTTGTTAAATCGCTTCTAGATTGACTTTGAACAGCTCGAGGCCACATCAGGAGAAATTTTGAGTTAATTTTCTGCGTTCTGATGAATTTTTATTCACCAGTTTGGGTCTTTTCTGGAAACACAAAATTCATTTTTTTTCTGTAAAAACACCAGAATTTTACCACATTTTTACAATATCATGATCATAACTTATTCAAACTGTTAATTACTGCACAGTTCTGCTGCACTTTACTGTGAGAATAGTTGTTTTACTTCAACAGCGTGTCTCGCATCAATGACACATTAATTTATTTTAATTAATTTACAAACACATGCACTTTAACGCTCTGAATCTGGAAATCTGCCTGTTTTAGAGGTTATTTTGAAAGAAATCGTCACCAACAGAAATGGTTTGAACAGAAGAAGAAGAAAAAAAAACAATCACTGGATTTTCAACTCTCCGATGGTCCTTGAACTGCTCATCTGTGGCTTCTGGAAAAAATAGACTTTGCACTTTAAACATTTGCAAAAAAAACAATCTGATTGCAATAACGCGATTTTTTAAAAAAACGAAAAATTCTGAGCTTCTTGATTTAACCGTGAAGCCATGAACGACTCAGCTGAGACCAACGGTACCGGGTCAAAAATTCTGTGAGTTTTCGGCTTCAGAGAGGACGTCGGCATGGAAGCACAATAACAAAACATCCAGACATGTCTACTGGGGAGGGATGCGGTTTTATTTTCCAGTGTTGGTTTCATCTGTTCGTACTTAAAAAACTGTCGTACATGTTGATTCCAGCTTTTCAAGATGTTTGCAAAATCTAGTTTTTTTCTTCTTTTTTCTGATTTCCTACATTCTAACTTCATCAGACTCCACAGAAGACGCTCTTGACTCGGTATTCATGGTTGTTGTGTTTCTGTAGAGCTGCAGTGAGGAAAAAGCCCTCAGAAACGGCCTGGACTTGCTTTATTCATGTTTTTATCAGAGGGGGCGTCAACGCACGTTTTCTAAATGCTGAAGAGGAAATCTGCACTTTACTTCCTGTATTGGAAAAAGTCTTTTTAATTTAAATCTCTCTGTGAACGTTTCAAACAGTTGCATCAGCGACACACGACGTACATTCATCAAACCAAACCGGCACCAGAATTCTTTACGTTCTCTTTTTTTGTTTTTTTAAACTAAAGTCACCAAACAATGAGAACAAAACGTCAGACAAAGCCGAAGCGTCTCTGCTTCGCTCAGCAGCAGCAGCTCGCTAATTATCACTCACCTGACTGCACACTGCTGTCAATCTATACGCAATTACAAAAGCCTCAGAGTTACATAACGGAGTCCTGAAGGAGCAAATTAACGGGCCGGACTGGACGCGCTGTGAAAGGAATGGGCCCGGGATCTGTCTAGTTCCTGAAACGGGGCTTCACATGAGAGAGAAAACACTCTGTACATGTGGTTTGTGTGGATGACAGTTGCATCCCTGCTGCTTTTATTAGCGTCTGTGTTTCCCCTCAAGTCACAGTTTCATGATTCAATTAGCGTTTCCCCATTTCGTGTCAACAGCGATCAGTTCTCCTCTAATCTGACGGCGGAACAGATTCTGTGTATGTGATCACCTCCCGGCGGCTCAGGCTGGATGCGGGAGATCCGTTAGACTCAGCAGCGTTTGGACGAGCAGAGATTTCTCCTCCTCGATCAGAACCTGAGGATCTGTCCACCTGCGAGCGTCGCTGGGCTTCCATCAGGGCTCCCCTCAGGTTCTAATCACAGCTCACACAGATAGAACTAAACAGGGTTCTGTCCACTAACATCCAAGTGTCCAGATTTCACCCATAACTCCCCCAGTAAGACGCCCCGGAGGTAAACCGGACGGTCAGGACTACAGATCTGCTTGGTTCCATAGCCGGGATTAATCAGTCTTAAACCTGAGCTCCGACAGTCAGCCTGAGCCTCCGTCTCCTGCATCTTGGAATGAGTTTTCGAATGCAGCACCCTGAGATCACAAGTTTTTAAAACTCTGAGCCAACATCTAGGAGCTTTATCCACCAGAATAATCATCTCATCCACCGAGCGTCTCCTCCAGAGAGACGAGAGGAGGTTCAGGAGTTCCTTGAAGTCTTTCCTTCAACCGCCTGCCTGGAGATCAAACGTCCTGGGTGAGAACCTGAGTTCTGGACAGCTTTGAAGAACCTCTTTGAAGTCGTGAACTCCTCGTCCGCCTCTTTCTTCTTCTTCACCTCGGTGACCACGGTTCTGTATCTGCTCGTGTTGCTTCTCGGGAACTTTTGCGATCAGCTTTTGAGTTCTTACGCGCTGAAGATCCACAAAAAAACACGTTCCTGTACAACCAAACCGCATTCACAGTGAGGTTTCTTCTGCCAGATTGTTTCATCACAAATCCGTTTCTTGGCCTTTTATTCGGTAGTTTTGCGGTCAACCAGTCATATGTTAGATGTTGTCACCACGGTAACCCAGGAAATGCAGTTAAAGGGACGTCATTTAACGCAAACCGCGACGTCTTGGCGACTAAAACCCAACCAGGAAACGAAACCGGACGCTAACTCTGGTCGTCTTCTGGCTTCCAAACATCCCGTCTCAAAGTCTTTCTAACTGGCCGCCGTTCCAACAACAACCAAAACAAAATGACAACTAATTAATTGATTCGTTGACGTGAGGAAGACCTAAAAACTCATTTTTGCATTTCAAAGTCGATATATTTACAAGTTTTTATCATGAAAACGTTCCCTTCCTGCCTCTAGTCTTCACCTATGACTCAAACGCCGTAAAACCACGATGGAAAGTTGTGATATTCTAGTTGGATGCACCGATACACAGAACTCCAACCTGCAAGATGAGGTTTGTTACCGATAAAACCCCAGAAATCTGAGTGTTCGAGACCGTTGTCGGTAGTTTTGGAGGTGGAAACACTCGGCCGTGGTGTTCCTTGATCCTCCTCACTGCACCAATCAGCCAGCAGTTCGGCTTCTTCCTTTACTTGGGTTTTTTTTGAGTGAAATTAACCCTCTGAACCCCTAAAACAGGGAAACTGACACCATTTATCAGAATCAGAAACTGTGCAAACCAAAAGAATTGGCAGTTTTTCAACTTTCCTACAGTTCTTGAACACAAAAAATGTCCAAGTCTATGTTTAAAGTCGTGATATTTCGACAAAATCTTTTTATTCTGAATGTCCCTTCAGTGACTTTTCGGCTGAACTGCAGGAAGCGTCGACACGAAACAAACAGGAGACGAATGTAGAAGCAAACAAAATGTGCAGTAAAATATCGACAGTGTGCAGAGACAGATGTGTGGTTCCTGTTGCACGTGTAGATTCCAGGTTTTTTCACCCGTTTGTAAACGAATAATTCTACTTTCCCGTCTTTCACTTTCATTCTGACCGTGTCATCGTGCACAGAAGCTTCTGGGTTGTTCTGGTTCTGTGGAGCTGCAGGATGAGCCACAGTGAGGAGAAACGTGACGTTTCTAAGGAGCGGGTCGCCCTTCAACTAACTCCCTCTGATTTTATTTGCCCACACATCAGAACGACTCCGACCACCGCAGGGGAAATTCAAAGAGGCTTGAATAAGGCCTGATTGAACGTCTGTGAAGTGCTCGAGAGGGATCTGCTCTTTAGCTTGTGTTAGTCAGGAAGGCATGAATGTTGCTGATGTTTGGACCGTTGGGCGTCTCCAGTCAGATCTACACAAAGCTGCTGATGACTGTGAACGATTCAAAAAGCAGGTTCCTGAACGCCTCCCACGTTTAATGACGGGACGCAGATGAACCTCCAGCTCGACATGCAACATTCATGCGGCGAGACTCCGGGGAGTTTCTCTGTTTCCTTACAGCCCTCTGAATCCGACGCATGCATATTTACGACGGTTTCAATCCAGGAGCAATCTGATAAGGCGCTCCGCTTTAAAGTTTAATTAAAACGTTCAGGTTTGGTGCCGCCACGGTGCAGCTATGGTGAGCTGTTCTCTCATTTTCGCTTCCCTTTTGCTAAATTTGCTTCCTCAGTATTAGAAAATCAGTTCTTCCGTGACCGTGAGGCTGGAAATGAACGTTGTGTTCTCAGTATTTCGGGTGCAGCGACGACTCTGAAAGAACAGACGGTAAACTGGGTGTCTGCGGTGGTATATATGAAGTCCTGCACCGCCACGGAAACACAACGACGTGGCTCAAAGTAGAAAAACAACAGCAGGAGTTACCAAGACTAAGAATAAAAGAGGCGATTCCATGCTTTACGGGTGTTTGTGCTGTTTGCATATTTAATTAGCGTCCAGGTGGAGGTGCAGCCGAGTGGATTCAGAAGTTCATCGTCGTCACGTCTGCTGCAGCTAAAGCAGCTTTTATTTTTT